GGCTACACTGGCTGCAACAGGGGTTCTGGTTTGCCTCTGCCAGCTGACAAACCTCGAGTGTTTATGTCATCACTGAAGTCTGAAATGCTGATGGTTGTCGGTGGGTCACACCTATTCTTCTCAGCCTAATGGCATGTTTATGTAAATAAAGTTCATATTTGGGAGCAGTAAGCAGATAAAAAATGTTATAAAATAGCAGATACTTTTTAAAACTAGACACTACACAAGCATAAAGCTAAGTAAACACAACTTGCACGTGTTAAAATGGATTGCAGTCCACCTCTCACAGTTTTTACTTCTTTCCCACACATGGCCCCATTTGATCCTTGCGACAACCTTGAAACACCTCAGCCCAAACAGGCGTTATCCCTACTTCACAGCTCAGGAAACTGAGGCCCAGAGAAGTTACAGTGGTTTTCCTAAGATCACAATTCTAAGCAGTAAGATCTATATTTAGAGCTAAGTTTTCTGACTGCAGAACCCATTTTCCTTTTATTATGTTTTTTCCTTCAGCTAAATATATAAACCATTACATTAGGGAAAGACTTTCAAAACAACAAGCATTTTGATGGTTTTCCAAAAGCTATTAGCACAGAACACCAAAGTCTGGCAAATTTGACAAAGAAGCAGACAGTGCCAAGGCATTTCGTAGCTAAAATTCCTAATATATTCACTCTTGAACTTGACCTCACTAGCCATAAAGCTTCTCCGTTGTTTTGTTCAATGTATGCCATGAAATTAGGGAAATGTAAACCCTTGGACATCAAGAAAATACCCATCACCTAGATGCTACAATTAACATTCTATTACACTTGCTTTGCCACACATCTACCTGTCTGTTCATCCCTCTGTCCAACCAGAAATTCATATTATTTTTCTGAAGTTGCAGACATCAGTCAACTCCACCCCTAAATAGTTTAGCATCATATCATTAACCAGAGTTCAATATTTGCTTATGGTTCTCTTTTTTAGATAAAATTTTCATATAATCAAATGCACAACTCTTAAAAGTACCATTCAATAAGTTTTGCCAAATGTGTACACCCATGTATCTCAAAGCTCTATCTACTCTCAGCCAGAAAGTTCCCTCCCTCATGTCCCTTCCCAGTCAGTTCCCTCCTACCACTGTTTTAGTATCTGTCACTATCGATTAGTTTTAATTGTTCTACAACTTCATATGAATGGTGTCATATAGTATTTACTCTTTTGTGTTAATGATTTTCTCATTCAAGATCTTGTCTTTGAGATTCATCCGTGTTGTTTCGTGTATCAGGAGTTTACCCCTTTCATTTGTTCAGTATCTCTCTACTGTAGAACTACACTAATTTCTTTATCCACTTTCCTCTTGACAGACACCTGGCCTATTTCCAGTTTGGGGTTATTCTAAATAAAACTACTGTGAAGACTCCTATAGAGATCTTTTTGTGAACGTTTTTATTTCTCTTGGGTAATTACCTAGAAATGGAATTGCCAGGTCATAGGGCGGGTGTATGTTTAGTTTTATAAAAAACTTTCAGAACTATTTTAAAAGGAATTGTACCATTTTAGCCCCCACCAACAATGCATGAGAGTCTCTTGCTCCACACTGTCACTGATATTTGGCGTGGCCAGTCTTTTGAATTACAGAATAAGAATCTCCACAGTAAAAAGTGTTTCCATAATCAAGGGATGACTGAGGCAATATCCATACACAGGTACCCCTATTGCTGTGTCGGTTCAGGTTTCTTAAGCTGTGTGATTAAGACTTTAAATCATAATTCTCATTCTTAAATAATTTATTGAAAGAGCCATACTTTGTCAGCTATTTCAAATGTTTTTACATTCAACTTGAGCTCTAAATTGCCGAACTATTATTGAAGTTCATTTTTAGAGTGGTTTCCGATTAATACTGAGGCTTTCAAAATGATCAAAATGATCAGTTTTGCTCTTGACTTGTGCTCCTAAAAAATAATCACAACCTAGTCACTAACTCATAAAATTCCTTGACCAAATTGAGTGAGCATCAGTCACCTCAGGAGTGTCTCACAGACCTAAGCTTTAAGAAGAAAGAATCATTGTAGGTTAAGTCTCAGTAATATGTGGTCAAGTTACCTCCAAGTTAAGCTGCCGCCAGTTGCTGGGGGAAGTCCATAGGCCTAATTTTATGTTAATGTAAATGTTCTTAGGCTTTCTCTTTTATCCCCAAGGAGTTCCAAGCTTTTAAATTGCTGTTTCCTTTGCTTTTCCTCCATTCTCCACACTCTGACTCTTGCTCATGGTGTTATGAAAATAACCTAAACTCTCTTAATGCTTCTCAAAAACGTATTTCAGTTCACTGTTTATAAAATTAGACATATTATAACCCATGTGACGATTTGCCTTTTAATGAACCTTTAGTAATTAGTAATACCGTGTAGTGCTCTAGGTGGAAGAAATTAAATATGCAAGTCTCGCGGCTAATGTAAACTGGTCAAGGCATCAGGAAACTCTGGCAGGAAAGATGACTGTGCCACTGCTCTGTAACTAGTTCCTTTCTGCATCTACATTTCAATTTTCCAAGATATCAAAGGATAATCTACGAACATACGCATGAAGCTTTTAACCAGGAAATTTGTAATGCAACTTTAGCAGCAAGTAATTTTTGTTTGGCAGATTTTATTTCTGGTGGCACCTATTTAGTTCTTTCCCGTAACAGAGAGAGTGAAATGCACGGTTCTGGAATCGCCACTGGTTACAGAGGCATTAGGGAGACGGCACCGGAGGAAATGCTATGAATTAGGCATTTTAATCTCTGCCTTAATTTGCTTTTTTACAGAAGTACTTAATACATTACTCTATCTCTCTCTCTGTCTAGCTATAAAATAATAAAAAAATATACTGGCTCTGAAGATATGTTAATATGGTAGGCATTTCTTTAAATTACATGAAATTTCATCTCTATATGAGGTTTGCATATTTTGGGAGCTAAGCCACTAGGCACATATTTTATACTTCTGAAAAGAAGAATATTCCATGGCTTGGAATGATTGTACTGGCTAATTGTCCCACTCATCAAATGTGCAATACATACAACAGATTTATTATAGGGTGTGGCTCAGTGGTTGAGCATTGACCCATGCACCAAGAGGTCGCCAGTTTGATTCCTGGTTAGGGCACATGGCCAGGTTGTGGGCCTGGTCTCCAGGGGGGACATGCAAGAGGTGGCCAATCGATGTTCTTTCTCATTCATGTTTCTCTCTCTCTCTCTCTCTCTCTCTCTTTCTCTCTCTCTAAAATCAAGAATAATAATAATTTTAAAAATCTGCATATAAGCCCCCAGGGCCAATGCCATGCATAGTTGAAATAGGCAGCTAGGACTGGAACAAAGCAGCAGCACAGAAAAGACCTGCCTACCTTAAAATATTTTTCCTCTGACCTACCTTTGGGATGAGACACTGTCTTCAAAATTTTCTATCAAAAGCAATGTGTTACCAGGTAATATACAGGATGACTTTTGATTGCACAAACCATTAACGGCCATTATCCCTTCAGACTCTAGCAGGGCCATGAGGGGAGGGGATACAGTCAGAGACCTTTTGAAAGGCTGAGATGCTAAGAAATGATGAGATGCTGTGTGTGTGGTGGAGGGAGGGGAAGAACAGCCTGAGGGTGGAAGGCACCTATGGAGGAAGCTCTGAAACTAAATCTGGGAACTCTCACCAAAGATCTACTTGATTCCAATGTTGGCCTAGGGCTGGACCCACAAGACACAAATGAGAAAATAATGTAATCTTTAATTTTTCACATTTTACATATAAGCTCTTTTGAGACACATTTGTTCTTTCTGACACAGGAAAGACATAGGATGACTGTGCACATCACTGGCACCGAAGCAAAGAGTGTTGCGTTTGCTTGTGTTACATAAGCCACAGAGTTAGACACACTGGCTCATTTACTAAACAAGTACTGAAAATGAAAACTGTCATTGCAAAGTGCTGTGTAAATACAAATTCTTTTTACTGTGATTTTAGAACTTAAAAATTGAAGCCACAATTTTTTTCTCCTAATAATCACCCCAGACATGTTGCCACTGACCCACTTTGCAAAGGAATCAAATCCCAACACTGCATTATCTCTCAGATTTTACTGTGTTTTTGATGAATGGGGATAAATCTAAAGATAACATATTAGGACAATTGACAGAGTTCACTTTTAGGCTTCTTCCATTTCAAATCTATCTCTAAACGTGATCCCTTTTGTTTAGTTCACTTTATTCAACACATGGTAATTTGCCTGCAAATAAAAGTGACCACTTCATGTTTTATCATATTCACATTTATACATTTTATTGTAATTAACAGACAAAGGCTCAAGAACTTTACGATAAATTTTAAAACATAAGTTTAGTGTTTATCTAGAAGATTGTTAAGCATAATTACTAGAATTGTATTACTTTTCCCTTTTTTTCATGAAAATTTTATTTTTTCATTAAAATAATTTGTCCTCTCATAAATTAACCCTAGTAAACAATAAAGGGAGATCCTTTAGACTGAGACAAAAGCCCTTCATAAATATAATTTGTACCTGATTCTCTAATCATATTATGCTGGGGTCTCAATATTAAAGAACAATCTCATCACTGGCAATTAAATAGCTCTTCATTTGTTTCTCTGAAAATAAGAGTTTTTAATCTCTTCTTGCAAGCTAGGATATTTTTATGGTTTAAATATATTTTTGAATTTATCCCAATAGTTAAATTGAAAATATCTGATATTTTCGATTACTTAAAATGTTTGTGATTTTAATCTCTCAGCAGAAATCTGCTGCTGAGGGGCGGGGTGCAGAATTAAAAGCTGTCAGAAAGACACTTATGTAAGAACCATGATATTGGTCATTGGTTTGAAAGCAGTAAGTCCTAAATTTTAGACTCAAAGCGTTAAGGAAGCGTTATTGAGCACTTTTCCCCTCTCAGGGCTAAGGCAAATGGCTGATGAGTGAAACCCTGAAAGTGTTCACAGCTTTTCTCTTTCATTTTGTTGCAGCCCAGAAGATGGTGAGATCCATCCAGAAATCTGTCGGCTTTATATCCAGCTGCAGTGCTGCTTAGAAATGTACACAACAGAGATGCTAAAATCCATATGTCTGCTGGGGTCTCTTCAGTTTCATCGAAAAGGTATCTGCATTTAATATGTTGCCATCACCCTGAGGAATGTTAAACAAAAGCTCATCTTTTGCAAAGCACCTACATGCATTTTATGTCCATCTACACACCATTAGAATGGAAGTAAATGTTCAGGAAACATTTGATATAAATTAATAAAAGAAGTCAATATCAGTTCTAAATGCATAGGAACACTGATCGTCTTGAACAGAAATTATGGTAGAAACAGTTCTCAATTTATTATTTAACCATTTGTGAGCGTGACTTTGATTAGAATCGACATAAGCATCAAAAATACATAATGATCTTGCTAGGCTAGTAAATGCTGCTGTGTATTTCCCTAAATGAATTAGGTTTCAAGAAGACAAATTACATATTGTACCCCAAAGATTTAAAAATAGGGAAAACTCAGCAAACAATAGAGAGGCTTATTAGTAATAGAAAATCTCATTACCAGGCTTAACCTATAAAAGGAGTACATTGGCTGAAATGTCTGAAGCCTCCAACAGCGGTGGTAGCTTCAGCATGATTCGACTAGACTACTAACTCCCGTTCTCAGTGATGCTCTGCCTTCTCCTGGCTTTACCTGCAGGCTGCCTGCCCCCACATTAGCAAACTGATTGCAACAGTTTTAGTAATAACATCTACACATCACAGGATCCATAAAAAAAAAAAAAAAAAAAAAACAGAGCTTCTCCCTACTACAGACTAGCAAACATTCTAAGCTTCATTCTGATTGGACCAGGTCAGATTGTGGTTCTGCACTTGAACCAATCACTGTAGCCAGAGAGATGGAATTATACAGACTGGTTTAGGCAATCAAGGCCCATTCCTGGAACTAGCAGAGGGTCAACCCCACCCAGCCACTGGTTATTACATGATGAGAGGGCAGAATGGGGTGAATGCTATGAGGAAGCCAAAAGTTCCATTACTGGAGGATTGAACCTATATTTTCTTCACTAATTCATCAAACAATAATTTATTGGGAACCTCCTGAAGGCAAACATTTTATGCTTGAACTCAGGAGAATACATAGAGGGCACATAGAATGAAGTACTTGCTTATGATTTAAATTCAGAGATGGAAAAAGGTCAAGAAACTAATACTCAGGGAAAATCTTATAGAAAGGGTGGCACTTGAGCGGAGTTGTGAAGATAGGGTTCACGTAGGGAAGGAAAAAGACATTTCAGGTGAAGAAACAAAGTAGAGATTTGAAATCAAATGAGCTTGCAATTTGAGGGGGACTAAATGACATGATAAAGTATTTGTAAAAAGCAAATATTATGTATACTCATGCGTGTGACACAGCCAGACTAAAAACAGAATTATGGGCCCTGGCCAGTTTGGCTCAGTAGTGTAGTTAGAGTGTCGGCCTGTGGTTCAGAGAGACCCGGGTTCGGTTCCCGCTAAGGGCACGTACCTTGGCTGCAGTTTGTCCCTGGCCCTGGTTGGGTTGTGCAGGTGGCAACTACTAGATGTGTCCCTTTCATGTTGATGTTTCTCTATCTCTCCCCCTTGCACTCTATCTGAACAAAAAATGGAAAAATGTCCTCTGTGAGGATAAAAAAATAAATAAATAAAAAATAAAAACAGGATTATGCTGTGATCCAAAAAAAGATCATTTTCTTCATATATGAATGCTGTTTATTTATTTATTTTGCATGAAAGAAAAAAGGCTGGCCTTTTAAGAGTTTCTGTCTTTACTTCTGTTACTAATACAAGTGAATATGTTTAGAGAGATGAGCTTTTGACTCTCCTGAAGCCTAATCAAAAAATTGAACATCACACACACTGATGACATTCAAACAGGTTGTCATGGCCCAGTGTCTCTACTTGTCTCTCTCTCTCACACACATACACCCCCCCCCACACACACACACACACATGCATTCACACATACACACACATATAGAGTATAGGATTTTCATTCTTTTTAAGCATAGTTGAATAGACTGGTAGTTTTTCTCCAGGTCTGCACTGGCTATACCTACAATATTTCATGCCCGTGTTGCCACTGGAATCTCCCTTGTTGATGACATGTCCTTAACACCCAGTGACCCTCATTCTCACGCCACTTTGCTGTAACTTCTTGGTTTGCCACCTGGTCTCCTTCTGCCATCTACTCCTATTTTGTGTCTTGTCATCATTGACTTTTGAAAGGAAAACTTTTATCTACTAGCTCTGTGTAAAAGTAAAAGGGTTCTTCCATCAAGATCTCTTCCTTATTGTATTTGGTCTTGAGCATCCAAATAAAAAAAGCTCATCACCTCTGAACTGATCAGCTCATTTGATCTTCACTGTCTTTTGTCTTCATTGTCAGCATTTGACTTGATTTCTTCCCTTTCATTTCTTTTAAAAATAGTAAACCCTGCTCCCTGCTCTAGTGCTTAATTTATATACAACTCTAAAAAGAATATACCTGATACAGTGGTATCTCTGAGGTGGCCTTAGGCTAGGGAAGGGGCCTATCTAGATGACCTCACTAAGTCCTCCAAGAAATCAATGCACCACCAATCACCCAATAGCTGTCATAAACCTTTCTTTTTTTATTCATTGATTTAACACATATTTATAAGCCAACTGCAAAATATTAGTCATTCTTAAATTCTACTACCTTAAAACTCAAATTCAATAATTTATAATTTAGTTGATTGTTAGCTTTTCTAAGCATCTCTTTAATCTTCTGTCCATGTCCACTCTTAGGCCACCATCAATTCTAACCCTTGTTACTACAGATTTATCCCTGTGCCTCCCATCTTCCGGGCAAGGGAGAGGGAGAGGCAGAGGGAGAGGAAGAAGGAGAGGGAGAGGGAGAAGGAGGGAGAAAGGGAGAGGGAGAGGAAGTGGGAGAGGAAGGGGAAGAGGGAGAGGAAGTGGAAGAGGGAGAGGAAGTGGGAGAGGGAGAGGAAGTGGAAGAGGGAGAGGAAGTGGAAGAGGGAGAGGAAGTGGGAGAGGGAGAGGGAGAGGGAGAGGAAGTGGGAGAGGAAGTGGAAGAGGGAGAGGGAGAGGGAGAGGAAGTGGGAGAGGAAGTGGAAGAGGGAGAGGAAGTGGAAGAGGGAGAGGAAGTGGAAGAGGGAGAGGAAGTGGGAGAGGGAGAGGGAGAGAAGAGTGAGATATCAAATAGTCCTTCGAGTCTTAGGGAACAGCGAATTCCATTCTAGCCTGTAACACTTGAAATTTCTTTCTGCTTAGGATCCCTTTCTGATATATTTCTTTTAATGATATGAAAACTGGTGTTTTGATAACTTTCAGGTTATCTAATTTTATCCTCTGTTACCAGTTGGCCATTCCCCTCTCCTTTACTATTTCTTTTCAATCAAGAAAAGAAAAGGAATTGTTCTTGAATCATTAAGTTTGGCTCAGTAAGAATCTCTGATCAAGTTTTCTTTGAGGTTAAATGCTGAAACCAAATTGCTTCACAGTTATTTTTATGTCTAATCACCTCCCTGGCTGCCACCAGAGGTCCAGCAAGTATCGTGTATCACATTTTCATTTCTCTATGGCATTGAGTAGTCATGAGTTTCCTCTTTGGAGGGCATATAAGGTCACTGCAGACACAGAGAGTATGGTTTCTTTCTGGAAAAAATAAGCCTCAATCATTTTAAAGTTCCTGCAGTGAGCATGAATTTAGTAATAAAAACTGTCCTTCCTCTTCCAATTAAGCAAATCATAATTACCCTGAGTCCTCAACAATATATTTAGTGGATCTTCATATTTTTTGCATATACAATGCTTCTGAATTTTTGCTGTCTCATAAGTTTTATTGGTACAATCTATTACTTAGAAATATTTTATACTTTACAACATCATGCTACTGCCAAAGAAATGAAGAAAAATAGTACTAAAATGATTTTCTTTTTTCTTTATGGCCAACATGATTAAATTAAATTATCAAAATGTGAGGTAAAATCCACATTTAATAAAGGGCATTGGGTTATCCCATGCAGAGTGTGGTTCTGAAAAACTGTTTGTCTCAAGAAAATGACAGACGGGAATAATTTTAGACATTCTGTAGTTTCATAGTCTCACATTTTAAGTTGTAGATTGGAACATTACTTGGAAAAGTCTAATTTCTATGTTTATAGTGAGAAATTGTTGCTCTTACTTCTTCACAGTTAGGTCAGTAGAAAATCTTTTCCCATAAGTGAGTTCATGTATCACATTGACCGTTAATACCCGTTTCCTGCCACCAGATGAAATGAGATTGCAGGTTTCATTCGCTCCGTTGGCAGAAAGTGGAGCCTGGTTTTGAAGGAATTGAATGATCCTGCTCTGGTAGCCATGCTTGCTTCTCTCTCACATTCTGTCCCCATTCACTCAGCACTGGCCACATTCCCGTGCGGAAGGGAGCAGAGAGGACAGACACTCCATGCAGCTCCCCTTCACGGTGACCTTGCTGTTTCCTCCTTTGTTTGCATCTCACCTGCTTGTCAGGGGCCACCTCTGCCTCTGCTCTGCCTCCTGCCACAGCTTACTGCGGAACAGTCCTCAGGTCCTTTGAGGGCATACCCATTCTCCCCCCCAAAATAAGGTGTTCTCTCCCTGCAGTATGTCACCATGATAAACCCAGAGACAAAATATGCAGAGGAAATGTAATCACAGAAGGGGGAAAAGAGAAAAACGTTAGAAGTTGAAAAATCTTAATTCAAAATCTAGTGGGAGCTGAGGGCTCAAGAGGCTCTAATGAGAAATTAATGAACCACTATCCAGCAAAATACAGGATGAACTTCAGACAAAGAACAGACTATGAACAGTCAAGACTCCAGTGTGTTCAGCCTTACATTAAGAAAAGGAAATGACCCGTGCCAATAAAAGAAATAAGCAACGTGAAGACAGAAATGGAATATAGCCACAAGTAAAGACCTTATTCTTTTCCTATGTAATAAGGCAGTTGATACTAAAATAGAACTGTAGGTTAGAAGAAATGAAGCAGAATAAATCTTAAAATAGACTATAATTCAAATCTGAGTGGAAACATGTATTCGCTGTTTGAACAAATATTTATTGAGCAC